CGACGCAGGTCGTGCCTCTTCTTTTTTGGCAAGTCGCCTTTACTTGATCCTTCCTGGAGTAAAACAATAGCTGCAGCATAAAAAAGCAGTTTTGTGAAAGGGGTTTCAAAACATTTTGCAGGCTTTGTTATTCTGTTAAACGCTGGACAAATTCACCACTCTTCTTGGATCCTTCAGCATCTGCTGCTTGGTACGGATGTCGTTGGCTGTTGCAGTTAATGTTTCTGATTGCCTCCATCTCAGCGTTGTGAAAACTGCCTCATCCTTTCCTGCAGGGCTGCACCCGGAGATGCTGTGTAGTGGTTTGAAGTGGAGCAGGGCTGCAGGCTGAGCTCTGCCTGTCTGTTTAGCAAAGTCCGTGCCAAGGGCAGAAGGGTTTGTGGAAATGATTCGTCACAGCTTGTTAATCACAGAGCTGAAAATATTTAAACTAAACAGGCTTCTTTGACGTTCTTTAAAGTAACTGTGGCAGAGAGCAAATACCAGCACAGGGTTGTTTCCAGCGCTAATCGTGACTGCTGTTCTCTGTCTCTAGGTTGGCTGCCCTGCCAGAGAAGCCCCCGACCATCGACTGGGCTTACTACAAGTCTACTGTTGCTAAAGCTGGCATGGTGGATGAGTTTCAGAAGAAGGTAAGTCTCTTTTCTCAGCTGGGCATTTCTCTTTGGAAGTTTAAATGGAGAATGTCTTTGATGTTGAGAAAAAACCACCAGAATTGGTGGGGGGAGGTTGGTTTTGGCTGGCACTGCCAGAGAAGCCCCCGACCATCGACTGGGCTTACTACAAGTCTACTGTTGCTAAAGCTGGCATGGTGGATGAGTTTCAGAAGAAGGTAAGTCTCTTTTCTCAGCTGGGCATTTCTCTTTGGAAGTTTAAATGGAGAATGTCTTTGATGTTGAGAAAAAACCACCAGAATTGGTGGGGGGAGGTTGGTTTTGGCTGGCAGGGGCTCCTGCCACCAGAATTGGTGGAGGGAGGTTGGTTTTGGCTGGCAGGTGCCCCTGATCCTGCCGCTGATCTGCCTCTCAGGAGGCATCGTGTGAGAAAGTTGGTGGAAGAAGACTTGATAAATTATTTTGTCTGCGGGAGTACGTTGGGTAGTGCCTCTCCTGAAGCAAACAGTCAAAGTATTTAACTCAGTGCATCAAAGCAGGTGGCGAGCATGACTCTGCAGGAGCTGCCGTTCTCTTTATGAGCAGGAGGTGACAAGCACGAGCGAGGAGTTTGCTGAAGGACACGTGGTGTCCCTGGCTCTGTGAAAACTGGCCTCCCAGGACTGGGAGGACCCAGTGACCTCAGAGGGATCTGGGAGCTTTGTCTTGGGAGAAGTACATCTGTGATATGCTAAATCTTTCTTGCTTCCTTAGAACTCTGTGCTTTGCCCTTTGCAGCGCTGTGATGAGGATGTGCAGTGTCCTGTGTCCGTGGTGGTGTGCGGTCCAGAGTAGGTTGCTTTAAGCTCACGGGTGAGCGGTGCTGGTCGTGAAAGGCACAGTCGAGCTGCAGGGATCGGTTGTAGGAAGCTCATAGGTTGTGAGCATATCCTAGGAATTTTCTGAAAGGGAAAATGACCTTGGTGTGAAGGATTATTTTGATCAAACAAAAAATGTTCTCTTTGAATTTACAGTTCAGCGCACTGAAGGTTCCCGAGCCAGTGGATACACAGACTGCCAAAGTTAATGCCCAAGAGCAAGAAGCTGTAAGTGTTTAAATTGTTCCTTAAAGCCAGGGTTGTCTCTGACTTCCCTGAGGGTGGGAAGGGGTGAGAGGGAAGGGATGTTCCGTGCCTGCGTCTGCACAGGCAGGGCAGGCTTGGTGAGAGTGTGGGCTCCAGTCTTCACATGTGTGTCTGGCTTTAGACGAAGCAAGTGGATCTCTGCAGTGGAAAGGTTTGGCTGTTTGGGCTTTGATCAAGATTCTGTCCTCTTATCTAAAGTAACAAAGATAATTTTAAATGCAAACTTAAAGTGTGAAGTTGTGGGGTTGCTCTAGGTCACTGTCTTTATCACAACTGTATTCACCATGTCCTCTGCTTTCCTGCAGGCCAAGAGCACTGCGGAGTATGTGCAGGCTTCCAAAGCTCGGATTGCTCAGTATGAGCAAGAGGTAACCCTGGACTTTGCTTAGTGAATATTCTCTTTAACCCAAGCTGGCTCACACCTGGTTCTTGTGTGTGCTTTGCTCTTTCTTGCTGACAAGCGACTTGTAATGTGTTTGTCTCTGCCCTCACTTCAAGCTCCAGAAGCTCAGGAGCATGATTCCCTTCGAACAGATGACGTATGAAGACTTGCATGAAGCCTTCCCTGAAACCAAACTGGACAAGGAGAAATACCCGTACTGGCCCCACAAACCAATTGCTGATCTGTAAACTTGTCTGGAAGCAGGTTGTCTAACAACTGTCAGGCTCGTATGATCTTTTAAATAAAGTACTTGCCCTCCTCCTGCCTGTGACTCAGATCTTAGACATGAATTTGCAAGATTCTGAGACAGGTGGAGCGATGCGCTAACTTGCAAACTGCCCACATTTCCTGGATTTTGTCTTCTCTACCTTTTTTTTTGTAGAAAGGACCACAACTGCAGCTAGAACTCTTGGTCAAACAGTGCCCTGTTGTGTCTTCTGTGATGTCAGTAATGCAGATAAACCATCTGCTCATCCATATAACCTGCGTTCCCGTGGTGCAGGGACTGTAGTTCTGCAATTGCAGGCAAATAGTTGCCTAGAGATAGGTCACGTAAAGCCTTTGGTGGGAGATCTATCTCAGCAGTTCTAGAAGCAGAGGTCTAGGGCTGCTTTCTATGTTGGTTACGGGCAGTTGCAAAAGGAGTTGAAGGAGCATAGGTGTGCTGAGATACATTTAAAATATTTTATTTTTTTTTTAGAACATCCCAGGAATCTCCCCTTTAATCCTGGTAATCCCTATATTCTCTCAGCCCTGGGTTTCTGAATTACACAGATCTCGCTAAACCTTACAGAAACAGTACAAACCCTTCGGACTTGCATTGTTTTACTCAATTATCTGAGATAGAATTCTTCCTCAAAATGGAAACATTTCTATAAAAGGGGGGCATTAGCTCCCTTTTCTGTTGGCCATGTTTGTGGTAAGAATTACAGATGGATAGACCAATTTCACAAATGTTTTATTCGCATACCTTGCCCACAGAATGCTTTAAGAACATGCACAGTTCTGCTGAACTAGAGTACAAAGCACTAAGCTTTGCCCTGTGGGTTTGGTTTTTTAATTTTTATTTAGGCAGCTGAAACAACTGCGGCTCTGTCAATCAAGCAGGAAAAGAGTTACACACGAGGGGTTAGAAGCAAGACAGCGGAGAGCAACCGCACTAACGCTGCGCAGAGCCGGTCTCTAGCTGCACCATTTTATAGAAATCGCAGTGAAAAAAAACACGGACAGGAGCAAGTGAGCGTAGAGAAGCACCTTCTCCAGAATGGGCAGAAACAGGTCCCAGCCCCATGATAGCCAGCGGAGCTTGGCTGGTCGCCCTTTCTCCTGGCCCTTCTTGGGGAGGTTGGGCAGTTGGGCGCCTGCCTTGGCAAGGAGTTGGGCGGGCTGGCTGCTCGTCGCTGTCCTCGCCGGCTCGGGGTGCGCGTCTGTGAAGAGCGAATGGCGCGTGTCAGCGCGGGCGGGTGATTTGTTGCGGCTGACGCTGCCTGGGACACTGGTTGCCCCGAGGAAACCCATCCTCGCTCAGACCAACCCAGGGTAAAACACACTGAACCTACTTGTTTAAGAGGTTTTGGGTTGCTTTACCTCGCTGGAAGCTTTGGAGAACCTTGTCTAAGTGCAGGGATTTGTGCTGCTGGTGCAACAGGAAGAAGGTGTCCAACACAGCCATGATCTTGAGCAGGAAGCTGCCCAGGAAGAATACCACTGCAGAACAAGACAAAATCAAGAAAGCCCTTAATAATTGGTATAATTTTCTTGAATGTAATCCTGCCTGCGTTTAGGGGCCTGGTGGGGAAGGGGGAAAATTTCTAATTCCAGCAACCTGGTAAAGCTTAATTCTTCGTGACTTCAGCGTTTGCAAACGTGTCCATAAATACCCAAAGGCCTTCCCTAGGGTTTGTACCTGTAAAAATCTGTTTTTACTCGATAAAGATGGGTACCTATCATAGGTGGTTGGTTGGTGGAAGTTGGGAGGATGTCGTTGAGAATCACAGCTAACATGGAGCTGCCGAGGATGATGGCAATCTGGAAATTGATTTTCTCCTCCAGAGAGCTGGGTCCAAACAACACGACCATATCCAGCACGTACAGGGCACACGTTGGGAGGATCAGGTTCAACACATACAGAGTGGGTCGTCTCTCCATGGAAATCTGTTGAAGAAGAGGGACAAAATTTGGGTGAGCAGAAGATAACTTAATGTGCTGGGTGAATGCTCATTCTCAAATGCAGAAAATTGTCTTGTTGCATACCTTTCTATTTTTTTTTTAATTTTGGGTGGCAAATCAGTGTAATATAGTAGAAAAGTACTGTCCTACCACAAAGGTGACCACAGAAAATTTTTCATCATCCAGCTCTTCTAGGTGTTCAATGATGCTCAGGTTGGTGAACTTCCATTCGCCATCAGTTAGGAAGTAACTCTGGCTCTCTTCCATCATCTCCGTTGGTGTCCGTCTCATCTTCATGACAAGGTCTGTTACTGCTTGGGCAGAAGGCAGAGGAGAGAAATTGCAGGACTCGAGTATTTATTAGAGGTCAGTGTTTCCTCTCCCTTTCCCTCCCAACCAAGCATGTGTGCAGATGGGAAAGGCAACATTTCTTGCACTGCTGGATTTTCTTAGCCCATCAGGGACAAATTAAAAAGGAATTTGGTGAAGAGACTTGGCTGGACCTTTGGGGATGTGGGTCAGAGGGGAAGTCTCCCGTCGATTAGGATAGTTGTCCTCTGCAGATGGGAATGGGTTTCGTGTCAGCTCTGCTCATTTCTCATCCCTTCCTGTTGGGATGAGCTCTGACTGCAGTTTGGATCCCTGAAACTGTCCTTAATTCCCTCTCGTTTCCATGGTTATGGTTAAAGATCAGTCCTGCAAAACTGTACGTGAACCAGTAGCCGTGCTGCAAAAAGCCTCCTAGTCTCTTGGATTGTAGAGACCAATCTCAGGGAGGACTTGCCACAGAACAACCGGATGCTTCCAGAGAGACTGCTGGGAAACGTGCCAAACCAGAATGACTCTTTTGGCTCATTTTCCCTGGCGTTACACGACCTCAGCCCTGCCAGCGCAGTCTGAGTGTGTGGGGCTGCTAAGGGAACCCAGAAGTGAGCCGGGGCCTGTCTCATCTATTTGTGCTGCAAATTCAGCCCAGCTGTCAGAACATCAGCTTGGTGCTGTACCTGGGTAGAGAAATGAAGCTATGGTCAAGTTGCACGTCTGGGTGTCGAAGGGAAACTTGAAGATCTTCAAGCTGCAGCTTAAAATAACCTGGAAGGACTGGGTGGATCTGAAGCTGCTGTTGTGCATGACGGCCATGTAGTCAAAGTTCGAGGACTGTCCATTCACTCTGAAGGAAATAAAAGTGGAGAGTGACTTTGCTCCAAGAAGCTGCAGTGCTCCTCAGCCCCACAAACACATGGGCTGTCCTTTTGGAGGAGACTCTGCACCGTCACCCAGCCATGGGATGTAGCAGAGAGGAAACCTGGGGCTTGAAGAAGGGCTGGTGAGTGTGTCTGGGCTGAAGTTTGCAGTAGCTCTGCACCTCCTGAGGAAACTCATTTCTCTCTCCCCTTTGCTTCCCACTCTCACCTGGGGCAGGGGCTTTTTTCCAGTTCTGCTGGGTTGCCTCCCTCTCCTCCCTGGCTGAACTGCTGGCGGGGTGCCCGTCCCTCTGTCCGACCTGTGGTGCCCTGTCCTGCATCTCACAGCAAAGTGCCAAGGGGCATTTCATTCCATGACATTGCTGGTCTCTGCTGCTTCCTCAGCTTGAAATACAGCCCAGATGGGACATTTCTGGAGGTGTTACAGTATTACAGAGCCACAAAGTGCTTTGTATAAACAGTGTTTGCCAATAATCTGAATTAAGAGGTTCTTGGTTACAGAGAGCCCATGGGAACAACATCTGACTGTATGACTTTATCCCATTTCTTACAATAATAACTATAGCTTGCATCCATTGCATTTCTCTTAAGCCAGGGGATAAAAATGAACCTACCGCTCTACAATGAAGATGGAAGGAGACCAATATGCATCCATGGGTAGAATGATTTTGGAAATGTTGCAGAAATCCTGTGGATTCCAGGTTGCAAATACGTTTTTCCACTCCTGCGGGAAGATGTTGCAGAAGAGAAATGAGTGCCGGGCTCAGCTCCAGCCATCGTGCTGGGCGTCACAGGAGAGAAATGCTCTCAAGGGACCTACCAGCTTCAACACAAAGTAAAAGGAAACTGTCTGGAGCTTTTCGACCTGGGGAAACAAAAGGGAAGATATTTAGCCGATTTTCTTGGGTTCATCCAATGCAAAGCCCCGAAGCTTTCCTGTTGCTTTTGCAGTGGACAGCACAGATTGCAGAAACTCAGCTCAGGAGGAGAGCTCAAGGATCTTGGTCCTATGTCTGAAGAGTGAGAGTGTATAGTCCATTTTTTTCCCTTTTTTTTAAAAAAAAAAGATTATTGTTAACGTTTACCTGCCAATGCTCTGTGAATGCACTTCTCAGTTCAGGCACTGGCCAGGCTTGTTTCTAGAACCTGCTACAACACAGGTCGTTTGCCTGAGCCTGCTTCCAAACTTCTTCCTGGGAGTAGCTGGGAGAAAATACTCCACATCTTCCAAAAACGCTTTCAAACAGTAGAAAGCTCAAGAAGTGGAAGGATCTGATTCTCAACCCCATGGCTTTGCTGACCCAGCCCTGCCTGACAGGAGACTCAGAGCTCAATCTCGCAATTGCCCTGTTTTCTGTTATAGAGACTCGGCAGGAGTTTTGGATCCTTACCACGGAGAGAATAGCCACCAGCATAAAATCCATCTTCACTTCCAGGGGCTCCTTCAAGTTTGCCTTGGGCAGTATGTGTGTGTGCAGCTTGCTGTGAGAGGAAATGTTCAGGTACTCAATAACATCGTAGTAGGTGCAGCCATACCTCAGAGCAGCCACTGCTAGAACAGAAAAATAAAATTCCGCTTGAATCAGAAAAGGATCAGGCGAGATCCAAACCTGTGTGAGAGAGAGATAGCGAAAGAGAAAGGATGTGCAGCTGTGAGTATGAAAAACATCATTAACACAGGCAAATCCCTTTTCAAAGCTTTTTCTATCCTTCTTGAGTTTACCTGTCCCAAGAGCAAAGGAGACGACAGCTATAAAAGCTCGCTGCATCTTCTCCTGCTTCCAAATAAGGAGGCAAATGGTACTGTGTCGCTTATGAACTGTTCCAGGACACGTCATTTGTAATCGAGAAGTTGATTTGATATTTATTAATGAGGGGTAGATATTTGGTAAATAAAAGCTAGGCTTTTTGTGTATTTATTTGCATTGGAAGGAATAATTTGCTAATGGCTTGATGCACTCAAACCTGGCTCTTGGGAGCAGCCTTTAGTTGTGGTAAAGGAAAAATAAGGTCATTAAAAAAAAAAATCCAACAATTTGAGGGAGAGGAAAATAAAGGGCCCGTCTCCACAAAGAAAAGGCGAGGAGCCAGAGCCACTCAGAAGCAAATCTTATCTCATTTACAGGACTGAGAGTGTGTTGCAACTCCATTGAAATGGAATAGAAATTAGTGCTCGCGTGATGTGAGGGGTGCTGGGGAGGCAGGGGAGGGGCTGCTCTGCTTTGAGCGCCGTCCTGCTCCCCAGCAGCCCAAGCTGTGGCAGTTAACAGCATGTGCTCATTTCCCAAAGCACTGAGCCTTTCACTTACCCACTGATTTTGTGTTTCTGCCTCCTTCCTGTTCTCGCACGCTTTCGAGGTTTTTCTCCAAGTCCTCATGATTAAGATGAAGGGCGTGGAGGTTTTTTTGTGTGTGGGTTTTTTTTTTTTTTACTTCTCCATCTGTCTTTCCCTCCACCACTTTCCTCTCAGTCGCTGCCTATTTTTTCTGCTGTGATTCCAGTCATACCTCCAGGTGCTCAAAGTGATGGTTCCCTTGAAGGGGAGTGACTCCAGTTCTCACAGAAAATCCCATCTTGCTGGAACATTGTAGATGGCACCTAAATACTGTGGCTTCTGGTTATGTCTGAGGTAGGAGATGGGGAGAATACGGGCCATAAGACAGGGTTTGGATCAGACATAAGGGGCACAAGGAGATGTAGGGATCACCTCTGTGCTGGGGCTTGAGGGCTGTGTTGGCTGCAGGAGGTGTAGGTCCTGCTTACAGGTGGGACAACGCTGGACCCCTGGAATGGTTCTGGACGTGACTGAGTCTCCAGCAGTCCCTGACGTCTGCCAGGAGCTGGTGAGATGTACACGAGAGCCACGAATCTGCCCTGTTGCTCTGAAAACTTTTGGTGCCCGCCGTGCCCTGTCGCAGCGCGGTCCTCA